GAAGCAGCCCCACCAGGATTAGAACTAGTGGCCATATAGGATCCTAGCACATGCAAGGCGAGGACTTTAGCCACTAGGCTACCATGCTGGGCCCAGTTCTCATAATTCTTAATGACATTATAAGACAGGCATCTTCTCTCTTCAGTCACAATGTGATTTTCCCTCCTCTGATTGATGACAACACCCTGAGGATTCCTTTAAGCCTGTGAGCACGTAAGAGCTACTGCTACTGAACTGAACTGAACTGAAGGAGCTCAGTAGGTATTAAAAGAGCCCCTGAGGTGCCCATCCTCACAGTGAGTGTGTTGAGAGTTTAACACACTTTCTGAGGAGTTCACAATCCTGTTTCATCATGTGTGGGTTTTATTTGATTATTAGGTGACCTGTGGAGGGAGAGTGCACCTTGTTCACATGAAATTATGGTGAAGGTGCACTTCCGTAAGAATTCATAAGGAGGGAGAGATCACATGTAGCCATTTGCTCAGGGGGGGAGGAATGTGCTGACAATCTATTCTGGGTCATTCTCCACTCTGGAAGGCTTCCAGGAGGCGGCATTTGATGCAGACCCCAGGCTGTTGGGAACAGACATAAATTAGGATTTAAAAGGGAATGTGGGATTTGAAACATCTGCATTGATCAAAAGTGATGTAATTCTAAAATCAATTTACTGATCAGTCTCTCAGAAGAGCAAAAGGCTGGTGGTCTCAAGGTGAAGATCCCTGTGTCCCACCTCAAGGTGTCTGGGATCCACTCCTGTAACCTGTCAAAGCAGAGCCTGGGGAGGCAGTGGTGACAGCTAAGTCACTGTGTCCCTGCTGTCCATGTGGGACACCTTGATTGATTCCCTGGCTTCTGAGTTCAGCCCCTGCCACTACAGGTGTTTAAGAAATGAAGCAAAGATGGGAGTACTTATTGCCCTGTCCACCTGTCAATCTGTGTCTCTACACTTGTCAAAAAAAATTTTTTTTTCAAAAATTGATTAACATTCTGGAGGAGCTAGGGGATATTTGGCTTTAGTTTTGGTTTCAATAAGCGGTTTCTCCTAAGCCAGTTCCAGTAAATTCATCAGCTCAGTTCTGCCCAGCTGAATGTCAGTTTTATGTGTGATTCATACTTCAGACACCAAGCACACACCAATTGCTTAAGACAGGAATATTTATCCACTATTGGAAATTGAGTAGGAGACAAGAACCCTGTAAAAGTCCTTGACATTGGAGTCATGGACAACTGCTTCACCTTGCAATTAATCGGAAGTTTTCCTCAATATCAAAAGCCAGTGTTTCAAAATAAACAAATAAATAAATGTCAGAACAGAGAACTTTGGTGCTTGTCAGGTGATGGTGCAATGGTCAGGGGAACTATCAGCAACAAAGACAACATGCTCAGCCGAACATAACGCTTAATATAATGCTAACGATTTTAACTGGAGAGATGTAACTTCAAAGAAATATTCAGCTACTGAGAAGATGCCTTACTCAGAGAGGTAAAGGTATTTTCTCAAGGTGGCATAGATAACAAGCTTCAGAGCTGGGATTTAACAACTATATCATGGAATAATAATCAGCAGCTAAGAGTGACAACGCAAGGGGCAGGCCTTTGGTATAGAAGTTAAGATGTCAGTTGGGACACTCGCAGCCCGTATTTTGCAGTGCCATGGTCCAGGCCCCAGCTCCGCTTCCAATTCCAACTTTCTGCTGATGCATACATACCACTGGGGGCAGCAAGTGAAGGCTAAGGCCTTGTGTTCCTGCCACCCACAGGAGAGACCCAGAGTGAGTTCCAGGCACCTGCTTTGGCCTGACTGTTGGTGACAGGGAAAGAAGCAGTGGAAGGAAGGGCTGAGCATATATATCTTGCCTTTCCAATAATTGTTCAATCTTAAAAATTTTATAAAACATGAAAGCTAAGATGTAATCTCTGCTACTTTCAAAGAGAAAAAGACCCACAGTAAAACCTTACACAAGAAAAGAAATTTCTGAGAAAAGAAACAACACATACACAAAATAGATACACAGGAATGGACAGAAAAGAAAAGGCAGGGTATCTTCCAAAACATTTACAAGGCAGCTTTGGGTAGTGAATTGCATGAGGTTTCCATTTCTTTATTTTCCCTTGCTATCCATGCTTCTGTAGGACAGGGGATTTTCAGTTTCAGGGACTGGAATCTTCTAATTAAACTGATAAAATTCAGACTGACAGGAGAAAATGGTTTATTTTGCATGAATACAAGAGTCTTAAGGAAAATAAGTAGAAATCCAAAGGGACCATTAGTCTTGAGAGGTCACATACCATTTTTGTAAGAGATTTATTCAGTTCACTTGAAAGAGTTAGAGAGAGAGAGAGAGAGCAGGGGGGATCTTCTATGCACTGGTTCATTCTACAAATGGTTGCAACAGCCAACCAGAGCTGGGCTGATCCAAAGCCAGGAACCAGGAGCTTCTTCCAGGTCTCCCAAGTAGGTGCAAACACCCAAAACAGCTAGCAGGCTGAAGCCAGAGTCAGAACCCACGATGGCAGGTGCCCAATCCCTTAAGCCATTTGTTGCCTTCCAGGGCTTGAAGGAAGCCAAGCCAGAGCTGAAACCCAATGTCAGATGTAGTCAAGTTAACCAGTCTTAAATGCAAGCCCAAATGTTTGTCACTTCTGTTTTTAAAAACCTTGTACCAAAGTGGCAAGTTTTAGGGTGGCATATTCTGATCCTTTTCACTTGTCTTATTCTACTGACTTTCTTTTGCAGTGAAAGTGTGCATGCTCTTGATGGGGTCTTGGACAATCAGTGAGTTGCTTCAGGGGACCTGGCTGACAGAGCTCAGAGTTCAGTTTCTCCTTGACTTTCTGAGCCTGGAGGAGGTCCACCCTGCTGCCTCTGTCACCAGCACATTCATTTACCATCCTGGGCTCCCTGCTGAGACTAGTGGAGCCCTGAGTTCATCTACCTTGATAACAAGAGCAGCTAAGACACAACAGAGACAACCGGTGGGGCTCAAGGGAGAGGATCCCAGATCCACTGGGATAAAAAAGGAGGCAGGCAAACACCAGAGATCAGGGGTCAGGTCCAGATTTGCCTCTGTCCTTTCTTCCTGCCTTCCTCATCCCTCTGCCAACTCTTCTGTCTTCCTCTTCTCTCCTCTCCTTTTCCACCCTCAGAGGTCTGTGGTATAACAACAGCTCCCTTCCCTGCCTCTTATCAAACCCACCTAGCACCAGCCCCAGTCCCAGCCTCTCTCATCAGCTGCCCAGGCCAAGGAGGCAGGAAGATACCTGGATGGGGCTGGAGTAGTCTCCAAAGACCGTTGAGAGGGCCGAGGGAGTTCTGTGGTAGGACCACAGGAGACGGGAGGGGTGCCCCAAAAGCATCTGATGGGGGGGGGAGTAGAAATGCAGCTTTCCTGAAGGCAGCAGGCCCTTCTTGCTGTCCTGGACCCCTCCTCACTCCCTAGCATTTTATTCAAACCAGCAAAAAGTGGGCAGTCCCCACCATTCAGTACCACTACAGGTGTGTGTCCATCACAGATGTGTGTCCATCACAGCTATCTTCCCAGCACATATGTGTGTCCAGCGCAGGTGTGTGTTCATCCAGGGTGTGTGCTCAGCACAGCTGTGCCAGGTGGAGAGAGCAGCAGTCATATTTTGCAATAATTGCCCAGGGGCATTGGCTGTACTCCCCACCAAGTTCAACCCTCTGATTGTGCAGGGCTAACCCATGATAAGGGAAGTCACGGCTGAAAATTTGAAGTAAAACTTAGTCAACCAAAATCCACAAGAAAGTCCCTTTTTCCAGAAGAGGAAGTAGAAACCCAGGCCTGTTGAACAACGCATGGACTAGGTTTAGCCTAACAATTTTTTATCCCTCACAGCAGTAACACGGATCTAAAAATGAAGGCCCTGTGCGCTATCAGGGGCAACAGGGTGACCATTCCAGACGTTAGTCTTCCTGCTTCACGTTCCTTCCTCCCCCAGCTCCTCCCTGGGGTGCATTCCTCAGATGGGAGCTGCAGGAACAACATCAGAGCTAAGAGGAGCTATGAGGACGCCCACACTGAGGAGGTCTGGGTGGGCAAGGGGAGGGCAGGAACGAAGACGCTCCTGGGGAATACTATCCTCACCCCTAGATTTCTGCCTCCCTAGATTTCTACAAGCACATTCTTGTGCACATACAGAGAGACACAGACAAGTCATCTTCAGAAAGTTCAAGCAGGGCCCAGCGCTGTAACCTAGGGGCTAATGTCCTCATCTGCCGTGCTCCGAGATCCTATATGGGCATGGGTTCCTGTTCTACCTGCTCCATTTCCCATCCACCTCCCTGTTTGTGGCCTGGGAAAGCAGTAGATCCCAAAGTCTTGGGATCCTGTACTCACATAGAAGCTCCTAGCTCATGGCTTCGGATCAGCTCAACTCTGGTCACTGCAGCCAGTTAGGGAGTGAATCAGTGCACAGAGGATCTTTCTGTCTCTCCTCTCTGTAAATCTGACTTTCCAATTAAAAAGAAAAATCTTTTTTAAAAAAAAATGTTAAAAGAAAAACTGTAAGTTGAAAACACTGCACCTGGATTTCAAACTTAACTTTTCACTCTATTTTTCCACGGACTGTTGGTAACCCTCTCCTATAATCACACACACACACACACACACACACACACACACACACACACACACACACACATGTTCAGGGTTACGGTGCAGTAGGATATGTGCAGAAGATGACATCCTTCCGGGGCTGTGGTACAGATGATGGTGGCCATCCTAGGCTCTTGCTATGGTTTCTGGTCCTCACCAGCAGCTCAAGTAGACCCTAAAGCCCAAAGACACCTGCCCTTTCCATCCCACTCTAATCCAGCCTCTCACCTTTTCTTTTCCTCAGTCCTCAGGGGAGGTAAGTGGTAGACCATGAGGCCTACTCAAGTCAGTTCTCCTGCCAGAACCAAAGGGATGGAAACTTCAGAAAATGACAGAGGTACTGAGACCTCCTACTCTCCCCTTCCCAAGCACAGAGCACACAACTGGACTTTGCATTCCTTTTATTTGGACCATTGCATAGCATAGGGACCCCTCACAACAGCCCTGTGAGGTAGGGAACACCGATTCCACCACCGAGAGGATAAGGCCCAGCTTTTGCCTAGGCTCTCAGCAGGTACAGAGGGATCTTGAGCTGCCCCAACAACACAGCAAACAGGGCAGGAGAGCAAAGTCTTTCTCACCAGTGAGAAAGTTCCCATCCACCAATCCAGAGTTTCCTTTTGTATCCCCTATCACAAAAGCAGGGACTCCCAAGAAGGCGCAAAAACCTAACAGGCCAGAGTCAGGTAGACAGACGGGGTGGAGCCAATGCCCCATGAACCTCACTCTCGGGTTAAAACACGCACAAATTCCTCATAGTTCACCTTCCCGTCCTTGTCTACATCAGCCTTTTCGATCATAGCATTTAGCTGCTCCAGAGGAAGCGGTTCTCCCAGCTTGACCATGGCCTGCTTGAGTTCTTCCACAGTGATGTGGCCATCGCCATTTTGGTCAAAGGCTTGAAAGACCGCCCGCAGGTCTTGCCCATGGGCCGCAGCCTTCAACCTCTTGGCCATCGCTGCCAGGAACTCTTGGAAGCTAATGGCTCCATCACCATCCTGGTCCACACTGGCGATGAGGGCCTTCAGCTCCTCCTCTGAGAGTTTGTGGCCCAGGAGCTGCATCACTGCATCCAGCTCCTTGACACTGATGGTGCCATTCCCATCCTTGTCGAACTTGGTGAAGGCTGCCTTCAAGTCAGCCACCTGCTCTGGAGACAGTTCCTCGGCCATGCCTGCGTCTCCTGTGTAGCACCGGGCTTCTGAGTTCACAGGCAATCTGCAGCAACCAGGGCTCGTGTTCCAGGACTCAGGGCAGCTGCTGAGCAGTGTCTGTGGGGAGTCTTGCCCTGGCATGAGAACCCCTCTCCTTTTCTGTTGATGCAAGGGAGGAGCTCCCCACCCCACCCTTCCCATGCCCTGGGGCAAGATTCTCCTCCCAAGGGAGGGACAGTTTAGTTGCAGACAAGACATGCAGGATTTGAAGTGGGAGGGCTCCTTCTAGAAGAGTCTGGTGGGAACCAGCATGGGGTAGGGGAACAATAGAATCTACTTATCTCTCCAGGCCTTGACCACAGACTTTCCCAACCTTGGAACTTTCTACCCAGGGCAGTTTCCCCTGCAGTTAATTCTCAAAGAGACCCTGACCACATACATAGCAGGGACCAGGGAAGACCCCAACTTCAAACAGCTGAGATTGAGGGAGGGTAGGGTAAGGTGAGCCTCCCTTAGGGGCAGAAAGGGTCAGAGGAAGAATGGGAGGAAGGTTCAGTGCTTTGTTCTCTTCTCTGCTTTTGACCTGAGCAGCCCTGGATCTGTCTGGCAGCCACTATGAACTTGATCCAGTTTCCAGGCCAGGGAAGACACCAGGTCTAAAGACAGGACAAGATTCACTGCCTTTACCTTCCAGAGCAAGGAGTTCTGCAGGCTTGTTGTTCAGGCAAGGAGTTCTCACAGCTGCTACTGAGATGTTGTTTATCAAATGAGCATTCAAAATGCAATTTCAGACAAGAGGGGAAAGCTTTTTATTTCCCATCCCCCTAATGCTCTCTCTAATTCATTGACCTGATGCCAAGTCCAAGGTGTGTTCCATTCACAGGTGAAACAACTAGAGTTGGAATCTTGCTAAGGAAAGATTAGAGAGTATGTTGTGGCCCTTGTGGGACAGCCCAAAGACATCAAAAGGCAGGAACATACAGATGGGGGTATGTTCATGGCTGCAGCATGAACTTGGCCAACCTCTTGGTAGAAGCATGGAAACCCATCTGGGAACCTCTCAGGGCCCATTCATTTTTCTCTAGCAGTAAAACCATCCTTGCCCACTGTTTTAAGCAGCAGGGTTTAAAACAAGAGCTCAGCCCTTGGGAGGCTATCCCTAAGACCTTCTAGGACAGGACCCATGCCTATGAAAGGACATTTGCTATGAGGTCCCCACAATAGTTGGTCTCCTTAGTGTCCCATTTCCTCCCCATCCCTGCCAACAGATAAGGAACATACTGTTTCAATCTCTTCCTAAAAAACTGCATGAATTCCACCTTTCTACTTCAGCCAATTAAGCAATCCAAGCCTTCCCTTTTCCCTCGATGTAAAAATTCTCCCCGTGTGCCTGATGAGAGAGAGATACTAGGGGAATATTCCATTTGCCAAACGCTTGCTATAAAAATATCTTGAAGAGTTTGCATCTCATCTTAGTGCTGGAAAAGTACAGCGGTCTTAGCAAATATTGAGTAATCAATTTCTTGATGAAGCTACGATTTTGGGTGGAGAATATCAATCTAGCCTGGGGATCAGAACAGGAAAGCATCTTGCTTGGTAAGAGGTGTGGAGGGTGGAGCTCTTAATAACTAGATGCAACCCAGGTCATTCAATTATATCTGAAAGAATGATTGAAGATACAAATCTGCACTTCAAATTTCCTCTTTTCTAATCCTATTAGCAGGACCTGTGGTTAAAAACCAAATGTGTAGTAATTACTCTCCTATTAATTTGCCCTGGGAATTAAATAATACTTTACCAATCACATTGGAACTTGACCTATTGGTTATCAATTCTGTCACTGATGTGGAAACATAACTTATGTTTCAATATCTTCATCTATAAACTAGGCTAACACAAACACCCAGTTGGGCCCACAGAGAATCCAAGTCACTAAACAAAGACAAGGTGTTGTTCTATGGTGAACTTCAAATTCAGTAATGAGCTGACTCATGCTTGACACCAGTCAGTGCTCAGGAAGACAACATTTGAATGGGGAGCTCATTCTCAACCTTGTTATCATATCTCTCTTGGTCGAACTGAAGAATCATATTTTCTACCTCTAGGCTTTAGTGAAATCCAAAAGGCCAGTGACCTGGGCATCAGCTGGCTTTTGGACATCAGTTCTAGCAGAAGCAGTTCCCGTATGTGTGCCTGGAACAAGCAGATGGTCATTATGGGTATGGTGTGCTCTTTCCCTAGGAGACTCTAAAAGAGTTAATCCTACAACTCCTGGCTGAGTACTTCTCCTCCCTCAGTCAGCCACGGTGTGTTTCCCTTTCCTTTTGGTACACAGCTTTCACAGAGCTGATATAAACGATAATGTGGTTTCTATAAAGTTTTCCACTCAGCCCCCACCTGAGTAGGCGAACTAGTCTGCTGCATGGGTTCAGACCCCAAAAGTGAATTACCTTCTTCTTGGGAGGTCAGCATAGGAACATCCATTCATGCGTGACTCACACTACAGGGGGTTTAGCACAGTCAACTACCAACTAGGAAAGGGATATCCCACAACGTTTGGCGTCATCCCTGAGCTTCATGGAAATTCTTCTTCCTCTGCTGGTTTAGCACAAAGCAGCCTGGGTGCAGAGTTCAGCTTCACTTTGTGGAAGGAGCAATGGACACTATAAAGGCCTTTTTCTAGCACATTTGTAAGCCTCACAGACCTTCTCATGAGGCTCCTCGTGTCCATCCTGTGCACAGCCCACTGCAGCCAGCAGGGTGGCCAGTCACTTGCTCCTGGTCCCAGAGCTGAACACCAGGGCAAACTCAAGGTCAGTGAGTGGCTGTTGTGTCACCCAGAGCTTGGTCCTCAGTGTAGAGGTGTTAGAATGATGTCATGTGGTTAGGCCATTTGGGGACACTGCCTACAGAAGAGATGGAGGCAGACCTTGTGCTACCCTAGTTAGTTTCTGGGAAGGTGAGTTATTATTGATGAGTAAACCTGGCCCCTTTCTGCACCATTTCATGTCTCCCTTTAGAATCTTTTATATATGTGCCCCATCACAGCTCTATATGTCTGGATGCTCTCAGAAGAGGCTGAGCAAATGGGCTGCCTGGTTTGGGATTTTCAACCTCTAAAACTATGAGTTAAATGATTTAGCCTGTTTTCTGTATAAGTTACCAGCACTGGGTGGTTTGTTATAGCATCAGTGAACACATGTGTGGAGAGAGGGGAGGGAAGAATATACCACATCCAGTCCCTGCCACAGCAGCCGTGGCCCCTGGGCCATGTGTGAGGAGTATGCTAGGGCCAAATAAATGCAGTTGCTGAATGGACCAGGATGAGGTTTGTTGAGAAGTTATACCTGGAGCAAGAAAGGATGAAGGTGTGATTATCAGGGGGAGAGAAGCAGGCAGGTGTACAGGAAAGCTGGAGGCTTTTTGACTGAGGGTTGGAAGCCTCTGCTCTCCCCTCTACACATTCCCTCCCTGACATGGAAAGACAGATTCTAGCCGATCCTCTCCAATGGCTGCAACTCATTCAGTGCCCACAATCTGCCTAAACTTGTTGGGTTTGTTGACAGGAGCGCTCCCCATTCCCATCTGCCAATGACACACCTAGGAATTTGGCAGGACACACATCATTCTGTGTCCCAGATCATGGTCCCTTTCATTGCCATTTCCTAGTCATCTAGTACCCGCCATCTGAGCAGTTTAGAGTGAGGTACTTTTTTTTTAATTTTTTCTGGGAAACTGTAGCATGTTAGAAATCTTCCTGGGCCTGGCGGCGTGGCCTAGTGTCTAATGTCCTCGCCTTGAACACGCTGGGATCCCACATGGGTGCTGGTTCTAATCCCAGTGTCTGTACGTTCCATTCAGCTCCCTGCTTGTGGCCTGGGAAAGCAGTCAAGGATGGCCCAAAGCCAAGGATCCTGCACCTGTGTGGGGGACCTGGTAGAAGTTCCTGGCTCCTGGGTTCGGATTGGGCAGTGAATCATCAGATAGAAGATCTTCCTCTCTGTCTCTCCTCCTCTCTATATATCTGACTTTGCAATAAGAAAATTAAATAAATCTTTAAAAAATATTCCTAAAGTATATTACATGTTTCATTACCCACAACTGTAAACAAATTAGTTAGACGATATTTGTTACACATGGTCTTTGAGACCCTCAGTCTGCCATAATTTAAGTGCAAAGACTGATGTGGGGTCTGTCTGCCACTCATGACATAATAATTTTTCCAGACAATCATTTCCACATGCTGTCACATGTCACTGTCCCATGAGGCTTCTTCCATGTGCCCTCTTCTCCTGTTTATTTCACAAGTATTATTGACCAGACACAATGATACCAAGAAACTAGGCAAGCAGTTGCAAATCAACTCTCAACCAAATACAGTGGCAAACCAGTAGTACCAAGTTAGGATTTCAGGGTTGCCAACACATTTCTGGATTCAGGCCTGTGTTCTGAAGCATTGGGATTGCCTTGAGCCTGAACTCCTGATAAAGTGAGGATCCACTGAGTCATCCTGATGTGCCTGTGTAGACGCCTTTCTTCTGACATCCTCGATCCTAGCCCTTCCGTCTGGCATACAGTAAGTCAAAAAAGGCAGCAAAGCCAAACCATGGCTTCAGATTGAAGGAGTCAGCGAGGTGCACCGAGCGGCCATTCACTGCCTGGGGAATGCAGACTGCAGTGGGGAGCTGGCAAGGCGCAGGCTGTGCACTCTGCTTCCCTACTCCCTGAGGTCAGCCTGGGGAAGATCTAGAGATGTTCCCCATGATCCCAGTTCTCTGGAAAGTGACTTGTCTTGCCAGGCAAGAACACATTGTGTTCTCAGCACCGACATGCCTCATCACTGACAAGCAGGACAGAATCGTCCTGTGTTGGTGAACAATACATTTACAAAGTGTCCATGTGACCAATGCCCTGCCCCGGAGAACCCGACAGTCACTCTTTTCCCCCTCAGCCCCACTCCACACCTGTATTTCCACCACCATATCCATGAACACACATACTCACATTTGCACTCGGAGCAATTACTACCCACATTTTAAAAAATTTTACTAACCCAGGACCTCTTTCTTAAATGACTTCTTTTATATCTACCACTCATTATTTGTTGAAAATAT